GTTCAAGACAAGCCTCAACAACATGGTAAGACTTCATCTTTACAAATAATAGCTGGGTGTAGCAGTGTACACCTGTAGTCCTAGCTACCCAGGAGGATCCCTTGAGCCCAGGAGGTCAAGGCTGCAGTGAGCTATAATCATGTCACTGCATTCCAGCCTGGGCAACAGAGTGAGACCCTGTCTCAAATAAATAAATAATGGGGACAATAAGAGTATCCACCTTGGCTGGGCACAGTGGCTCACATCTGTAATCCTAGCACTTTGAGAGGCCAAAGCGGGTGATCACTTGAAGTGAGTTCAAAACCAGCCTGGCCAATATGGTGAAACCCTATTTCTACTAAAAATATAAAAAAATCAGTTGCGTGCAGTGGCAAGCACCTGTAATCCCAGCTACTTGGGAGCCTGAGGCAAGAGAATCACTTGAACAGGGGAGGCGGAGGCTGCAGTGAGCCAAGATCGCACCACTGCCCTCCAGCCTTGGTGACAGAGGGAGACTCCATCTAAAAAAAAACAAAACAAAACAAGAGTATCCACCTCATGGGGTTGTCTTGAGGATGAACTGAGTTCACACCCAAGGTGAGCTTAGAACCTTGTCTGGTACATACCAAGTATCACAAGTGTGAGCTACTGTCATTACCAATGGTCAAGTCCAAAGAGCTTTTGTCCATGGCCATTCTCATATTGAGAAAAGAGTGAAGGATAGATCAGTGTGCCCATTTCACAGCTCAAGAAGCTCAGAGTTGGACCATGGCTCATGATTGACAGCATTGGGACTCCGGTACACACCTGCCTCCTGCAGCCCAAGCCCCTGGGTGGGGTCAGGCAGAGCCCTGCAGGGCTGCTCAAAAAGAGTATCTGACCCTCAGTGAGCAGTGGGTGACCTGTGACTCCTTCAAGCCACATGCCCCTCATACAGCACCCAGACCAGTAAGAAGCAGTCTCAGGCTCTAGTTCAACATTCCCTGCACCTGCTGTTCGGGAATGTTGGCTGGAACGCTCTTCCCAGATTCCTCCCTCCTGGGATTCACAGGTGTGTATCAAGTCACCTTCTCAGAGAGGCCTTCCCTGGTGCTGTCAGTGGCCACCCTTATGCCCTCTGTACACCATTTCCATGTTGTCACCTGACTGCCAGCACCTGCCACTCTGCCTGCTGGAGATGCTGTGGCTGGCACAGACTGGGGAATGAAGGCCTCCTATCCCCAGCAGTCCTCTGCATTGGGCTGCAGGGAACTGCCCCTCAGGTAGAACACTCCTGAAGAGCACATTCTCCACTGCCTCCTACAGTTCCCAGCACAGGGTTAGGTTCCAGGAGTCCCTGTGGTAATTTGCTTGCTTGCTTATTTATTTATTTGAGATGAAGTCTCACTCTGTCACTCAGGTTGGTGTGCAGTGGCGCAATCCTGGCTCACTGCAACCTCCACCTCCCAAGTTCAAGTGATTCTCCTGCCTCAGTCTCCTGGGTAGCTGGGATTATAGGCCTGTGCCACCGTGCCAGACTAATTTTTACATTTTTAGTAGAGATGGGGTTTCACCATGTTGGCCAGGCTGATCTCCAACTCCTGACCTCAGGTGGTCCGTCCGCCTCAGCCTCGCAAAATGCTGGGATTACCAGCCACCTCGCTCTGCCGGTAATTTGCTTTACATAATGTTCACTTTGTGGACTCCCCTTCCTTCTCACTTGTCCTAACAATTACTTCCTGCCATCTCTTCCCAAATAAATGACTTGCACTCCAATCCCTGTCTCTCAAAGTATCCAAATGAAGACACCATCCTGCCTAACAAAGCTGTCCTATCACTTCCTTACCCTGCTTTATGTTTGTCCTGCCACCAGTGTCCGCAACCACACCACTGATCCACCCCCTTGTCGTGATGCACCGGACTATAAGCTGGGTGTCCAATCTTTTAGCTTCCCTGGGCCACATTGGAAGAATCGTCTTGGGCCACACATAAAATATACTAACGATAGCTGATGAGCTTAAAAACAAAACAGCAAAAAAACCTCATAATTTTATAAATTTGTGTTGGGCCACATTCATTTGTAATATCTTTTATTATAAATATCACAAATAAACATGATTACATCCTCCCTCCCTTGCCTTCCACCATGAACTAGCTTTACTGAAACCTGCACCTTCTATTTCTTCACCCCTTCTCTTTGGGTAAGCACCACCCACAAAGGAGCCAGAGGGCCTGAGTGATCCCAGTACCTCTGGAAAGGGTGCTGAGGGGCCAAGGTGAGCCACTCTTCAAGGCAGCTGGAAGAAAAATGCCCGGCCAGGGACTGAGATCGAATATTGATGGCTCCCAAGGGGATGGGAAAGCCGTGTGTGGGAGAGGAAAAGAGCCCTTTCAAGGTCAGGACAGCCAGGAATCCACTGCAGGCATGAGGCTGAGTGGAAAGAAGCCTGGGGCACCAGCTTTGCTGTGTGGCCTCAGACAAGGCGCTGCCCTTCTCTGGGCTTGTTTCTCCACAAATAAGCAATGCTTATGCTAATTCTAGTGAGGACCTTGAGGGGAAGAAGCTCACAGTGGAGAGCAAGGGTCAACCTAACCTTAACTCCACTGGCTTCAGTTTGGCCTCAGAACTCGACCACAGGACCAGGTCCAAGGCCCTGCTGGGTCACAACCCTGAGCAAGGTGGGCCTAGCACTCCCACCCCGACATCCCCCACGGCCCCCGCTCTAACCTGTGGCCACTGCCATCAGGGGCTGCTAGCCCAACCTGGGGTGGGTGGGGCCTGCTCCCAACTCCTCCCAGGGCAGAGTCCACCAGGCACACTGGTAAGACCCCTGAGCTGGGGGAATCTGGAGCTCTGCCTCTTAGATGCCTGTGTCTGGGGCCAATGATTCCACTGCCCTGAGTCTCAGTTCCTTTGCCTCTAAAATGGGCCTGCTCTGACACCTCACAGGAGTCAGTGAGAGAATGGAAGCAGAAACATAGTGTAAAACATAGTGACAAAGGTAGTAGTTACCATTTGTCAAACTCTTTCTCTATGCCAGGCAAACGCAATTTCATTTAATCCCCACAAATAGTTGGGAGACAGGCACTACTGTTATTTGCAATTTACAGGTGAGGAAATTGAGACTTCATCAAGAGGGACAGGTGGGGCTCGCACAGCCCTCCTTCTAGGTCCAGAGGCTCCAGGACAGCACTCTGGGCTTCTGGGGCCTGGAGGGGGAGAGGTGCTCCTCTCCTTTCCTCCAATGGTGCAGACAGGCTCTGGGCCCCCAAAGCCCGTCTCACCACAGTATTAATCATGCTGGCAGCGTCTGTAGGATAGGCAGAGGACAGAGAAGCAGGGGCAAGAAAGCCACCAGTTAGGAGGGAGCATCATTACCAATAATCTCCTTGACACTCCCGCCAGGTAAGAGTTTCTATCCCCATGTTGCAGATGAGGAAACCAAGGATCAGAAAGGACAACTGACTTGCTCAAGCAAGAGAAATCCTCTTCCACCATCCCAAGTGGCTACCTCTTCCCCATCCTCGGATTCAGAGATGTTTCTAGCTTCCCTTCCCTTGCAAGCCCCCATTCCTTCAAAACCACTTCCCTAGGGGCTGCCCCACCACCCTCCCTCCCTCATTCCTGGAGAAAACCGCAGGGTTCTCCCACTGGAACAGATGGCCATTCTCAGAAGTCCTGGTCAAACCTTGCCAGTTTTTAAAGGGCTATTCTGGGAGGCAATCAGTATTGATAAACGGTACATCCCTGGCCTAGTGTCCCAGCCCTAATGGGTCTCTGAGCCCACCCCACCAGCAGGCACCAGCCCACATTCCCAATGCCAATGCCAGTCTCGGCTGGAGGCAGCCACAGCTGAAGAGCAGAGTGGGGCCTGAGGAGGAGCAAGGCGGGCCCTCTAGGCCCAGACACGCTGGCACTCCAGGGACCAGGGAGCTCGAGCTGAGCTGCCGGAGCCCTATAAGGCCAAGAGGGGTTGGGGTGAGGGAGTGCCGTACTGTCAGTTGTTTCCTGGTGAGGGGAGAGGCTGTGGCCCGAAGTGGGTGGCAGGGAGGTGGCAGTGTGCAACAGTGCTGGGCTTTGACTCCAAAACCCGCAGGAAGGTGTGACCCCGGGCAAGCCACTCTCTTCCCCCACCAGAGAGACCTGCACAGGTCTGCGGCTTCAGGCTTCAGGGGAAGGTGCCAGGTAACAAGTTCCCTGAGCGTCACCAGAGACAGGGGGAGAGAAAGGAGCCCGGGGGAGGCCCCTCCCAGCCTCCCAGACGCCACATGGAGAGGTGGCGGCGAGTCTGCCGTTTGCCTGGGCGCCCAAGGGACTTCGGAAGTCCGAGGGGAAAGGTGCGAGAAAAAACAGGTTTCAAAAATAGCCGGGACGCCAGCCTGGACTCGGCTACAGGAAGGGACGTAGGGGTCTAGATCGCCTGATGTGGGGCCCTCACGAAGCACCCCAGGAGGGGCCTCGCTCCCAATTTCAAGAACGTATCTGCGACTCCGGGCTAACACCTGGGTGGGTGTTTGGACACCTGCAGTCAAAAGTTGGCGCCGTGGGTCGGGCAAGGGGCAGAGGAACGGGCCAGTGGGCTCCCGCCCGCCGCAGCAGCTGGCTGGGGCGCAGGGGTGCGGGACGGGGGCATCTTCCCAAGCCCCTGCGCCCGCTCCTCCTCTCCCAGGCACCGACGCCGAGCGCCTGCCACCCCCTAGCTGGGCAGGACAGCGGCGCTGGAGGTGCCGCGGGTGGCGGGGACCTCTTCTCCCCACCTGCACCCCACCCCATGCCGGCTGCACCTGGGGACGCCGAGCTCGGGCTCCTTCCCCAGCGCTGCCCCTCCTCGCAGCGGCACCGAGCGGCCCGGGAGTAGGTGCACAACTTGACCCCGGCCGGCTCCTGCCCCGCAGGGCCGGGGAAGGGCCACGCAGGGACCCGAGCGCCAGCCAGGCCCCGCCTCTGCCCAACTTGGCCGCACTCGGGGCGCCCGCTGAGGCCCCGAGCGTCTCTGCCCGACCCCGGCCCGGCCCGGCCCGGCGGACGCGCGCACACTCACTGCGGTGCCGGCCGCCGCCCCCCAAGCTCTGTTTGGCCAGGCTGGGGCTCCGGATCAGCGCCCGCCCCGCGGACTTGAGCGCGTCCATGGCCCACTCCAGCCGTCGCCGCCGCTGCCGCCGCCAAAACTCCGTCAGGAAAAACTTTCCGCCCGGCCCTGCAGCGCGCGGGCTGCGCGCTCCTCCCCTCCCGGCGCGAGCTCTGGCGCGGCGTCCGACGGGGCGGGGCGAGGGAGGACAGGCCCCGCCCCCATGCGGCCCCGCCCCGCCCCCATGCGGCCCCGCCCCGCCCCGCCCCGCCCGGCCGCTGTCTCCGAGCCCGGGTCCAGGCACCAAGCGCTTCTGAGGCGGCACGGAAACACCTGGAGATAGCGAATCGCAAGCCCTAGACGCCCTCGCTTTCCTCCTTCTCCCCAGTCCCCACCCCGTAGGGCCTGAGGGTCTGAGAGCAGCGGCCTAGGGTTTCCAGTGACCATTTTACAGGTGGGGAGACTGAGGGCTCCAGTGATGAAAGGTCTTGTTCAGGTACAAGAGCAGGGCGATGTCCAGGGCAGTGGGAGACTTAGAAGAGAGTGGAGGCTGTAGACCAGAGATGGCCAAACTTGTGGCTTCCTTAGGCCACATTGGAAGAAGACGTGTCTTGGGCCACACACAAAATACACTAACGACAGGCGATGAGCTAAAAAACAATCGCAAAAAAACCTAATTGTGTGTCTCTGTGTGTGTGTGTGTGTGTGTGTGTGAGAGAGAGAGAGAGAGAGAGAGACAGTTTCACTGTCGCCCAGGCTGGGAGTGCAGCGGTGTGATCTCACTGCAACTTCCACTTGCTGGGTTCAAGGGATTCTCGTGCCTCAGCCTTTCAAGTAGCTGGGATTACAGGCATGCACCACCATGTCCAGCTAATTTTTGTATTATTAGTAGAGACAGGGTTTTACCATGTTGGCCAGGCTGGTCTCAAAGTTCTGACCTGAAGTGATCCGCCTGCCTCGGCCTCCCACAGTGCTGGGGTGGCTGTGAGCCACCACGCCCAGCCTCAAAAATCTCATAATGCTTTCAGAATGTTTACAAATTTGTGTTGGGCCCCATTCAAAGCCATCCTGGGTCGCATGTGGCTGGTGTGCCACAGGTTGGACAAGCTTGCAGTGTAGACCCTTGTTAGGTACAGGATAGGTACATAAAAGTTTGCCGGCCGGGTGTGGTGGCTCATGCCTGTAATCCAAGCACTTTGGAGGCCAAGGCGGGCAGATCACCTGAGGTCAGGAGTTCAAGACCAGCCTGACCAACATGGTGAAACCTCGTCTTAAAAAAAAAAAGTTTGCCCTTAGCGAGTCTAGCCAGGCACTTTACTCAGCCACGTAGCTTCCAGGCTACTCCCTGGCACCACCTGGGCACACTGGGCCACCCCATGCCCACCCCACCTCCCAGGTAGCCTCAGAGATGGTATGATCTGGAATGTGCCCCTGACACTGACTTGCCGTATGACCTCAGGCAGGTCCTTCCCTCTCGGAGTATTCTTTATCTGTGAATGAGAGTCAATGCTATCTCTAGTGATCCTTCCAACCTGCCAGGACCAAGAAGCTGCCTGACCTTGACCCAGACCCCACCACACTGCTCCGTAGGAGCGTTTGGAGGGCAGTCTGAAACCCAGAATTGCTCAGGCACAGATGTTCTAACTCCAGGACTGGGAGGATTTGGTCTAACTCTCTAAGATGTTGTGCCTTCCTTTCAAACTGTGCCAAAAGGAGCCAGAGGGAGGACAGACCTATCTAAGCCCCAGCCTGGCTTCTTTCAGAAGCGGATGCCTCAGGCAAGGCCAACTTTAGCCTCTGTAATTACTCCCGGCTCAGAAGTTGCAGTCCTGAGAAAGACAGCCCTGTGCTGTCCCCAGCTGGAGAGGGCGGCCTCCCTGACATTCCCCTGTTAATAAACCAAGTGCTTTGTCAGCCAGTCTGTCCTGGTCTGTCCTTCGCTTCCCCAGCAACACTGCTTAGGGGCACCCACTTTACAGTTGAGAGCCCTAGGCCAGGGAGGGAAGCATTCACTGGGCATTCAGTCTCCAAGAGCCAGAGATTGGGATCAGACTCAGGCCCACAGGCCGTGGGGTAGAGTACAATGCCAGGACAGAAACTACTGTCCTTTTGGTGGTTGTGAACTCACCCTTCTGAGCCTCATCTGTAAAAAAGGCAACTATACCTATTTCACAGAGCTGTCCATAAGGATTAAATAATCGGAGTTGGAATGGATGAATCCTGTTCTTGAGAACCTACCTTTAAAGTTGCCTCCTCCAAGAAGCCTTCCCTGACTACCACCCATGGATTAAGTTTCTCTGTGGGCCCCACAGTCCTGAACTTTCAGCATTGCAAGCATTGCTGCTGCCTGTTTCTACTCTTCTCATCTCCATTAGGCTTTGTACCCTCCAAAGACAGGAAGTTTTTCTGATTCATTTCTGAATCCCAAATGCCTAGTAAGGGGTCCAAATGCCTTTGGAACGCAGTCAATGTTCCTGTCTTCCCTCCCTCCTTTCCTCCCCGTCTCCTTTCTCCAGCTTTTCACCAAACCGGGCTGCCTTCTGCAAAAGGGCTGTGGCAATAGGTAGGTGGGTCCACAGGCTGAGTCCCCCAACTCACTTATCCTGAGCCAGCTAGATTCTGGAACAGTAGAGAAAGCATTCTGGAGCGGGTAAGAAAAGCGATCACCCAGGGCAGGCTGGCCAAGGGCAGCTGGTAGTGTCCGGCTGGCAGGGAGCACCATATGGGCCTGATAAGCAGGAAGGTCTCGGAACGCTGCATGTGCAACGAAAACTGTTTGCCGGCCTTTGCGTTTTCCCGGAGATGGCTTGCTGGGAGCTGTCAGCCATGTGTCCCCTGCAGAGGGGCAGCCTGCTAGTGCCCCTTCTGCCAGTCCCAGAAACAGAAGCAGAAACAGAAGGTCAGAGCTGCAAGTCGCCTCCTCTGAGGTCACTGTGGCCAAACCCTCATTTCACAGATGAGGAGCTTATGGCCCAGAGATGGACAGGGACTTGCCCAAGGTTACACAGCAAGCCAGGAACAGATGCCAGGTTTCCTGCCTCCAACCTTGGATGCTTATAACAACAAGGAGGAGGCGAAGAAGTAGGGCTGGGCTTGGTGGCTCATGCCTATAATCCCAGCACTTTGGGAGGCCAAGGCGGGCAGACCACCTGAGGTCAGGAGTTTGAGACCAGCCTGACCAACATGGTGAAACCCGTCTCTACTAAAAATACAAAATTAGCTGGGCATGGTGGCACATGCCTGTTATCCCAGTTACTCGAGAGGCTGAGGCAGGGAAATAGCTTGAACCCAGGAGGCAGAGTTTGCGGTGAACTGAGATTGCGCCATTACACTCTAGCATGGGCAACAAGAGCAACTCTGTCTCAAAAAACAAAATAAAAAGAAAAGAAAAAAAAGCAAGAAAAGGGAAAAAAGAAGCCCTGAAAGTAGCTCAGTATTCAAGAGGGGCTTATAAGGGGATTTTTCTTTTCCCTTCTGTGTTTTGGTTTTCTGTTTATCTGCCCTAACTTCCCAAACATTTCTACAGTGATCACATTCCTTTAAAAAAAAAAAAAAAAAAAAAAAAAAAAAAAAAAAAAAAAAAAAAAAAAAAAAAAAAAAAAAAAAAAAAAAAAAAAAAAAAAAAAAAAAAAAACAGTAAAAGGGGTGGGGAGCTACCGATGGGAATAAATGGCTTTTGTCTTTGGTCAAATGGCATCTGAGCTACAGTCTTCTTCATTCTTCCTCAGTGGACCCACAGGACCCGGGTAGGTAGCAGATGCCAGGGAGTTGACAGGACTCAGCCTCTCTTCAGCCATCATGTGGGCTTGCAGTGGGACCAAGACAAAAGCCGAGTCTGGGATGACAGGCCCTGGTTTCCTCAGGTGGTCTGTCATCCCTGCTTGTCTGAGCCAATCCCTCCCACTGTTCCCCATCTGTAAAATGGGAGTTATTAGTGGCAGACACCAAGCACACACCGATGCTGGAGCCGGGATCCAGGCTCCCCTACTTCTTTACTGCATGGCCTTAGGCAAGTCGCTTAAATTCCATGGGCCTCAGTTTCCTCAAAAATATAAAATTGGTGCAATGGACAGAATGTTTCTGTCCTATCAAAATTTGTATGTCAAAATCCTAATCTTCAAGGTGATGGGGCCATTTGGAAATAATCTTTTCATGGAAGCAGAACCCTCATGAGTGGGATAAGTATAAAGAAGACCCCAGAGAGATTCCTGGCCTTGGTCACTCTTGCAGTAAGAACACGGCCGTCTATGAACCAGGAAGCAGGCCCTCACCAGACAGAACATGCCAGCACCTTGAACTTGAACTTCCCAGTCTCTAGAGCTGTGAGAAATAAATTTTTGTTTGTTTATAAGCTAGTTGGTCTTTGGTATTTTGTGAGAGCAGCTGAATAGACTAGAACAATGGGGATTACACCTCATGGAGTTGTCGTGAGGATTAAGAGTTCATGTTGGCTGGGCACAGTGGCTCACATCTGTAATCCCAGCACTTTGGGAGGCTGAGGTGCGCGGATCACCTGAGGCCAGTAGTTTGAGACCAGCCTGGCCAACATGGTGAAACCCCATCTCTACTAAAAATACAAAATTAGCTGGGTGTTGTGGCATACACCTATAATCCCAGACACTTGGGAGGCTGAAGCAGGAGAATGGCTTGAACCCAGGAGGCAGAGACTGCAGCGAGCTGAGATCACGCCACTGCACTTCAGCCTGGCAACAGAGCAAGGCTCCATCTCAAAACAAAAAGTTAATGTTTGTGAAGTTAATGTTTGTGACATGTTTAGAATTCTGCCTGGCGTATAGTAAGTGATATATGTGTTGCCTATTTTAATAAAACAAAAATTGCTTTTCTAACTGGGTGAACAACGAGGATGACATGGCTGGAGTACCTGTGAATATCATAATTCTTGGCTGGTCCCCAGGGAAGGGAGCTCTTTCTCAGGGCTGGAACCAGCACAGCCCGGTCTGAGTGGTGGGCAGGCTAACATGGCACCCTCAGCGGACAGAGTAGGGTTGCCGCTCCCTCCCTGGGGCCAAGGTTGGAGACAGCCCTTTTCCAGGGAGGCGGAGGGAGCCTGGGTTACTTACTGCTGAGTCACGAGCTCCAGGGCTCTTACCTTGTACCCAAACTGCAGGGCCCCTCCTGTCTGCTGGGACCACGGACCTGACTGTCTCAACCAG